TCAGAGGTCATAATTAGGAAAAAAAAAAAGAAAAAAAAAAAAAGGACAGGAGGTGGAAGAAAGAGGAAGGAAAGGATTAGTGGTATTAAAAAAAAAAAAGTGTAAGGGACACAGGCTTTAGAGGGCTTAGGGACAAGGGAGGTGGAAGGAATAAGTCTGTGCCCCCCCTCCGCTCAGCACCAGCAAGTGCTCCCGCAGGCGTGACTTGGCTGTGACCAGGTGACTTTAAAAACAGACAAACACAATACAGTGTCACTTCTCAGTCCCAGGTGAAATAGGATGGTTTTGAAGGTGGTGATGAAGTCGCAGCATGCTGTGCCTGCTGGGGTCAGGGGATGTCACACTGTCCTGGGGACCTGGCCATTCCCCAGCCAGCCCTTACTGGCTGTTAAGCATGGAGAACTTGGGCTTTCCAAGCACTCCTTGTGTCACTGCCAAACCACTTGCTGTAGTAGTGAAACCTAAAATTGTGACATTTTCTGACTTTTCCGTGTTTGCTGCTTTACAGCACAAAATATTTTTCTTCTCTGCCGTTGAAAGGATTGCAGCAGCGAGGTGTGAGGTTGTGTGCAGCTTTTTTGGTGGTGGGAGAAACAATTCCTAGATATTTAGACTTGTAAGGTGCTGGAGTGGTAGGTGTATTTCTGCTGCAGTCTCTGGTCAAGAGCAGGACTAAGGAGGGCTTCTAGTTAAAGCAAATATTTTACCCTTTGTCATTTTAAGCTTGGATTACACAGTTAGTGAAGCCTGTGATTCCCAGACTGTGTGTTCTTGCAGACATGTACTTTCTGAAAGATAGGTGGTGAGTAGCAACTGACTCCAGTTTCATGATTTGGATTGTGATAAACCTTGCTTGATTCTGAGACAATGAAACAGAACCCACTGGATGTATATGGGACAGAGCCCTTATCCCAGCTGTGCTGCTAGTAAGTTATCTGTGGGTGAGCTCATAAAGTATCCCAAGTCCCTCTCCCAGCACCAGAGTTGCTGTAAGGTGGATCATATTTTCTTGCAGAGTGCTCTCAGAGCAGTAGGAGTGGATTCTCTGTCTATATCCAAGTATAATACAAACCTTATATTTTATTTTGCCAACATTAAAATGAGTAGATTCATTATACTTCTCTCATTAAGACAACTGGGTTTGACTTTGCAATTAGTTCCCTGTCAAAAAGAAAGATGATATCCTCAGAGGAGCCAAGTGAGCACCACTCCTTGTTCATCTTTTGATCTTCTATGGCTTTCTCCTTGCTTCTGAATGCACCCTGCTGCCTCCCATGCGGTGTGCGCAGCAGGATGCCTCTGTGTGTGTACTGCAATCAGAGATGCTGCCGGGTTATTTCCAGAATCCCAGTGGGGCATATGTATTCTTTCCTCTGAATATTTATTTAGCTTTGTTTTGTTGTTGCCTGATGTGCAAGCAAAGCAAGCACACACGGAGTACATCACTTTACTAGCTGAAGATCCTGCGTAGCTTTCCCCCCTTTTGGTGTTTTTTTCCTTAGGTGTAAAACCAACTTCCTCAGAAACTAATAGATGCAAATATCTTTATCGCTTTGTGGGAGAAAAAAACAGTTGGAAAAAAACAGTTGGAAAGAACTGCTTAGTACTCGGTGCTGTTTTGTTTAGAGAGATGAATATAGCAATCTGCAGAAGTCAAACCAGAAGATAAAGTATCTGTTGGCCATTGGGGCTGAGCAGTAAGTTCTCCTCGGCTTGATGTCGTTAAAGAAAAATCATAGCTGCAAGTTGGAGGCTGGAAGAGGAAGCTGGCTGAGATTTTGTGTTCTTAATTTAGACTCTCTGAATGTTTTTGCTTTTTTTTCATGGTCCTTAGTGTTCAAAAAAAAAAATAAATCTGACTTACTGAGGGGAAAACCTTTCTGTGCAGCTTCTTCACTCTTTTATCCTCACTGAAATGGGGAAAATGTCATGGCCTATTGAGATAAATAACCTTTGATTTTAACTGCAGCCAGCCTGTCCTCCAAGTTGCTACTTTGAGCAGTTTCTGAAAGTTTAATACTGAAAGGGTTGCTGCTAACACAAAGCTTTGAATCGTTGAATATTACAGCAGAATACTGCTTTGTCATTTACTGTCCTGCAGAATCTAATTAATGTGGTCTTCTCTTGAGTAATTTAACCTTATGAGTTTTTCTGTTGCTTTAGTTGAAAACTGCAGTCTGCAGGATGTCAGCCTGTCTGTGTAGCGTGAGATGAATGTGTGTTGTGATGGTATTGCTTGTGTGATTCCTGGTGTGGTTTCTGTGGCATAATTTGAAGATGAGGTGCAGTTGGAGTGCAGGAGGCGCTTGCATGGGATGTTCAGAGGTGGCACTTGAAGGAAGCATCCATTGATAAGGTACTTGCAAGGTAAAGCGCTTTGTAATGAGCACCCAGGTTGTGCCAAAGCAGAGCTGTGTAGAGACAAAGTAGTTCTGTGCTGCACCTCATTATCTGCTTACAATGAAAAGCACTTCACATGGAGTGCTTAGCGTGATTAAATTGAGACAAGAGGAAGTAACTTAATGGGAGCAACAGAGCTAAAACACTGCGAGTGGTGAAGTTTGCTAAGAAAGAAGAAAATCTTTGGCTGTGGCATATGTTTCAATGTGAGCAGTTAGTTTCTTTCTGAAGCGTGCCTATGGGCTCCTTGCTGAGTGCTCTGTTGAGCACACGTCTGTCAGTGTGTGCCCTGGGATGTGCATCAGGGTGGCCTGGCTGTGCGTGGGACAGGAGCTCTGCTGAAAGAGCAGGGGCAGCCTGTGGGAGTCTGTGTCTAAAATGCTGCCTCATGTCCCTGAGTGAGGCATTGGAGATGGTGAGAAGGCTTTGGGTGACACCACGGTCACCTCCCTGCCTCTCTTCTGATGCTGTTGGATAGCGAGCGAGTCCAAACGGCAGCCTCATAGTGCAGCGTGTGCTGATATCATGGTGGGATGGCAGGACAGGAGGCAAATCGCTGAACAGGTAAGGAGAAGGGGAGTTTGGAGGAGTCTTTGGAGGGGTTAGGGAAAAGTTCTGCCCCAGAGGGCAGTGGACATGGAACAGGCTGCATAGGGCAGTGGACACAGCCCCGAGTGCCAGAGTTCAAAGAGACATAGGGTTTCAGTTTTGAGTGATTCCATGTGCAGCCAGGAGTTGGTTTTATTGGTCCTTGTGGGTCCCAATAACCCAAATTGGGATATTCTATGATTCTCTCAGTGCTGTCTTGCTCCTCCTCCCCACCAGATGTTTGGGATGGAGGCAGCACGTGTCGTGTTTGCTGTTGCCTGGCTGATTTGAGAGCTTGCTGCTTTTCCCAGCCATAAAGGGACACTTGAGGCTGCCTTTTCTGTGGGGTGGGACAAGCAGAACATGCATGTGGGTACACAGTCCTGCTTGCGCAGCTGACAGCTTTGTTGAATCACAGCTCAGGCTTGTAGGCAGCTAAAAATAAAGGAAGGAATTTGCTGAAAGCTATCTGAAGTTAATGGAATATGGTTAATGCCTTTAAGTGGGGATGGGACAGAGAATCGTATCTCTCTCGTTCGTGAGGATTTTTTAATATAGATTAGAAGGGGGCAGTGTTGTTTGTTGTTAATTTAGCCCGAGGATGATGTCATTTTGCTGTCATTATTAAGTGGCATCATTCCACTTATTTCATAACGATCAATCATTGTGGCAGCAGCAGCAATCATCTTAGAATGCAGCCACCGCTCTATTTTTACATGTGCCAATGAAGGTGCATGCAAATGCCTGCTGATGTCCTGCAGCAGGACAGTGATAATTCACTTATCATTTGTGCCAATCTCAGAGCAGCAGTCGCTGCAGATGCAGGCGCGGGCAGTAATCTGGGGTGGATGATGTAGCTACGCAAGTGCTATATTTGGCCTTAAGGTGATTATTGGGTGCCTTCAGCTTCCCACTGAGAGCAGCACCTGCGATACGCAAGGGACCGGAGGTCTTGCCCTCTAACCACCCGAAGTGGGTTTTTTTCTTTGGCTTTAGTTTTCCTGAGTTATCGATGCTTGGTGTGATGTGATGTGCGTGTGTTTGTGTCTATGGCGGGCAGCGCGGGCGCTACGCGGGCATGCAGCAGCCCCGCACGCGTGCCCGGGGGAGTGGCCGTGCGGCCGCGGGCCGATAGGTGGCGCTGTCGGAGCGGGAAGGAGCCCGGCCACCGCCGCACGGGCCGGGCCGCCGGGCGGGCATCCCCGCGCCTCCTTACTGTTGATTATTTGGTATTTCTCTAATGATTACGAGTAATACTTCGGTTGTTTTTCTTAATTCCTTCCATTCTCGCGGGTGGGAGAATGGAAGGGATTAAGGGCTCCTCTCGCACGGAGCCGCGCTCCTCTTCCCGATTGCTCCCGGAGTGGGCACGGCCCCCGCTACCCCCGTCCGCATCTCCGCGCCCCCCACGCGTGCGGGGTCGTCCCTCGTGGGCTCCGCGGGGCGCTGCCTGCCGAAGCGGGGGGCGGAAGGGGGGGCTGGGGGGGGGGGGGGGGTATTCTGCCGGTGGGCGGTGCGACAGGCTAATGAGATGCCCGGGGGGGCGGGCCCGCGCGGCGGCTCAGCCAATAGGCGGCGGCGGTCCCGCATAAATTATAGGGGGGGCCGGGATGGCCAGGTTTTGTGCGGCGCGGCGGAGCGCTGACCCCGGAGCTCGCCCAGCGCAGCCCCGCCGCCGGCCGCCCCGCGCAGCCCCGCCGCCGCCCCGCCCAGCGCGTGTGCCCGGGGAGCAGGGCAGCGCTCCCGGCCGCGGTCGCATGAATGCCCAATGTTGTAGACCGGTGGCAATGGATCTAGGAGTTTATCAACTGAGGCATTTCTCCATTTCTTTCCTCTCGTCCCTGCTGGGTACCGACAGCTCCTCCCTGAGGCTCGACAGTAGGTAAATACGCGCCGCGGGCGGGCGGGTGCCTTTGTCCGCGGGGCCGCAGCATCCCGCAGCCCGCGCCCGGATCCGCGTCCCCGCGCCGCCGCTAACGCGCCCCGTGCGCTTCTCTCTGTGTCTCCCGCAGCTCCTCCGGTGCGAGCGTGGTAGCCATCGACAACAAGATCGAGCAGGCCATGGTACGTACCGCCGGGGGTCGCGGGCTGTGGGGAGCGGTGCCTTCACTTACTGTGGGTTCTTTTTTTTTCCCCCTGATTTTTACTTTATTTTCATTCTTTTTATTATGATCGTTTCTCGGCCCTTTAACGCTTTCACGGCTGTTATTTTTTGAACTCGCCCGCAGCATCGCGCATCCCCCCGCCCTAACGCGGAGCAGAGCGGAGCGCCCCGGCCCGGCCGCCCTTTGTTGGCGGAGCGCAGCCCGGAGCCGTTCTCACGGGAGCCTCCGCCGACTGTTGCTAGGCAAACTCCGAGCCTTTAACTCCCGGCTATAAATAACTCGGCCGCTCATTGGTCGCCCCGCGCTCTGACGTCACTCGCGGCCGCGCACGGCCGGCGGGAGGGAGGGAAATGCGGCAACCTGCGCCCAGAACTGGCTGCAGCCGGTGCGCGGGGGGCGGGGCTCGGGGCGGGGCTGCGGGCGGTGGGGGCGGGGCCTGCGCGTCCCCCCGAGGCGCACGTGTGCGGCGGGACCCGCGCCCCCGGGCCGCCCCCTGACGCCCTGCCCGCCCGTTCCCGCAGGACCTGGTGAAGAGCCACCTGATGTACGCCGTGAGGGAGGAGGTGGAGGTCCTGAAGGAGCAGATCAAGGAGCTGATAGAGAAGAACTCGCAGCTGGAACAAGAGAACACGCTGCTCAAAACGCTCGCGAGCCCGGAGCAGCTCGCTCAGTTCCAGGCGCAGCTGCAGACTGGTTCCCCGCCGTCCTCCGGCCAGGCGCAGGGCACGGCGCAGCAGCCCGCCCAGCCGGCCTCACAGGGCTCGGGGCCCTCGGCGTAGCCATGGGTGGCACCGCCACCCCACCGGCCTCTGGACTGCCTGCAGAAGGGCTGGTGGCGTGCGGCCCATCCCCGGCACCTTGCAGGACTCCGCACCCCGCATCGCAGCGAGGGGCTCCCCGCACTCGTCTGCCTCCCTCCTGCCTCCCTCCCCTCTGGTTTGAAGGAGGCTCCGTTCTTAGGTTGATCGAGTGAAACAAACTTCTTCCAGACAATTAGCACGAGGACGCTGGGACGCGAGCAGCTTCCGCAGGTGGCCGAAAACGAAGCTGCATGCCTGAATTTTTTTTTTTGTTTGTTTGTTTTTAAATCTGCTCATCCAGTGACGCGACCCATACAAGTGCTTTTCCAGCTTGGAAACGTGAAGAAATAGACTGGAGTGAAAAACCAAAAGTGATGGCTCAACCCCCATAGTGCACCTGAGTTCTGAGTGAGGACCGGTGCATTAGGACCTCAGAGGAAGAGGGAGAAAGGTAAACTCAGTGTTTAACACTTAACTGTCACCTGAAACCTTAAGTGCAAATATTTGCACCGTTTTCTGAAGCAGTGGACAGGTGCATAAAGCTGTATTATATATAGAAGGCAGGTAGGTGACGTACAGCTGGGTCATAGGAGAATTACAATGAAGGTTATTTGCCTACTGTATATTTGTGTATTTAGTGTAATTACTTTGTAAAATAGCAAACTGTAACTATTTAGGTTGTACAGATTGAGGTTTAGTTGTTTCATTGGCTGATCTGAAGAAGTTTGGGAAGTTTTTTTTTTTTTTTTTTTTATGCTACATAAATAAGAATGCACCTACACAACTGTTCAGAATTTGGCAGATTTATGCTGTTTGTGTAACTTCTGAAGTTCCCTGATTGCTGATTATCTTGAAGTAAATCTTTGTTCATTGTAGTTTGGTTCAAGACAGGAAAAACCACTCCAAAAATTACCAAGCCCCGCTAGCAAAGAATTAAAAAAAAAGAAAAAAAAAAAAATTGATTTCCCAGTATGAATTTTTGCATATGAGCTGTATAGTAGTATGCATATGTTCTTGTGCATGTTCTCTAAACAGTTGTAACACGTCAATGTATTTAACTGTTGCACTTGTCAACTTTCAATAAAGCATACAATGTTGATAAATCACTGTTTGCATATTGTAATAATGTTAATTGCAGTCATTTCAACATGTTGCAATTGGGCTTGGCATGAGCAGACCAGGAAGCAATGCTGAAATGCCAGGAGCCTTGAGTGCTTTCCCCAAGCTGTGAGCAGAAGAGCGCAAGCAGCACCCATGCTGGCAGCCATCCTGCAGCTCAGCGTGGCTGGTGTGGGGGCATTACATCTACAGCACCATGAGACTGGGCTGAAGCTTGTGGACGTCCAAGGATACCTCATTTCCACACCCACAACTCTTTACCTCGATTCTTTGTTGTTGTTTGTGAGCTGAAATTGTGTGAACTTGACGCATGGTGCGACATCTACATTTTGGGGTTTTGGAGGAGGACTTCAGCTCTGCACGAAGATAAAAGAGTTTTCCTCCATTTTGGAAAACAAAACAAAACTTCTTTCCTCTTTGGTAGTCACGATTGTAACATGGCCAAATTTAAACCTACAAGTGAAAGGCTGTAGGTATGGCATAGCAGTAGCCTGCAGCTGGGGTAGTGGAGGGGTTTGCACTTTTACAGTGGGTCCTATTCAGTGGTGTTAAGGATACGAATCCCAGGTACTTGCAGTATTCATCGCTGATGAAATTAAATATAAAGTGATCGCTCCTTGATGGAGGCACTTGAAAGCATCCAACTTGTAGGATGGTGCTGGAATTTGACTTCAAATGTAAAGGTTAATTATAAAGTTGTTGGAGAGTTTTCTACACGGTAGAGTATAGAACTATGAAGAGATGCATTTCTTGGGTTTGCATTTCTTGGGATGCATTTCTCCCATCTTTGAGAATAAGTAGGTGTAGCAGAGGAAATGAGAAAGCAGTGGGTTCAAAGTCAGGGTAGACCATCTTTTTTTTTTCTGTGACTTAAAGCTAAATTCTTGTGTTGGGTTCAGGTCATGCACTGTTCTGCTGTGCTGCTGCACCAGTGGTGTTACCCTCGCTGGGATCAGCATATCAAAGCAACTGCATGAGCATGTCCCTGTGGGAATGTGAGCTTTAATTCGTAGTTTGCATTCTCAAGGTTTCAGTATGTAATTTAAAAGGATTCTTAATGAGCAAACAACAGAGGGAAAGGCTAGATGCTTTTTTTTTTTCTGAGGGATTAAGCTAAAATTAGAAATTGATGATAGCCTTTGTGGCAGAACAGCACTTGAATTATCTGAATCCGACAAAAGGAATGCTAATTCTGGTGCTTTGTAAGTGGTTTAATTGTCTCCAGTTGCCTTTATATTCTGAATGTCTCAAGCACTTCCAGGCAGTTATGTTGAGTACATAAGAAGTTGATGTTAATGTGCAGATAGGCCTTTTCACCCTCGCTCACCAAAATTTGCCAACAATGTTTTATGTTCAGAAATGAGATCGAGCTCTGGGTTTATTTCTCCATTTAAAAAACAGCCTGAGCATATTCAGGATTTTTTTTTTTTGTCATCTGTTCTTTAATACAGTGTCCAAAAGCTTGAAGGCTTTATGTTAGATAACACATAGATAATTTTAGTACGCTATGCTTCACTGTTGGCAAATCTGGGCATTTGTTCTTTGCAGGATTGTTTTAATTGCCTTAAAACCACGGAGCCAGCTTCTGGAGCTGGTTATTAAGTTGCTAAAGTTAGGCAGCAGAACTTTGTGCCGAGATGATGTTAGCAATCACTCTGTCAAAACTGAAGCCTCTCAGTGAAACAAACTCCGTTTGACCAAAATTTCACTTGAGACCAAAACAAAGAGTGGACTTCTCAGCTTGTTGTGTTGTAATACTGCTGGAATGAATTGTTTTGATTTTTGCTTTTGTTCTACTACAAGTCATTTTTCAGAGCGCTTTAAATCAAGTGGCCTCAATAGCCAAGATCTGGCAAGTAATTTTAAGTCCAGATTGCCTGCATTCTGAAGGCTTTGGAAATGCTTCAGAAAGGGAAGTCTGAAGCTGTCCCGAGAGCATGGAGACCAAACCTGCAATACTGCAGCAAGCACAATGCCTTAGAGATGCCTCTCCCTAATTCTTTTGGAAGAAATCAGTGCCTGGAAGGCAGCTTCCTATCCTCCAGCTGGAGGAAAAAACCCAATGAGGCTATTTGGGAATTACCGCCCTTGGTTTCTGTAGCTCCAGCAAATGTATTGAGATTAATACAAACAAGTTTAATTACTATTTATTCTTTGTGGGGTGGAATAGCAGTACTCAGCATGCCTGCAGCCAGCAAGCTTGTTTAGCGTGACATAGCATCTTGAGTAGCAGCAACAGTTCATGTCTTAGGTGTTGAAATACTTCTCGCTTTTCTCCCTTGGATGATGCTTTTTAACATTCTGGAGAGTTTTCTGCTGGAATGGACCCGAAACAAATTGCAAGTCTGAGGCATGAGGCTGGAAGCCTGCCCAGCTCCAGGCCTGCCGGTCAACGTGGTTTCAGATGTATGGAACTGAGCTGAGCAAGAGTGACTGCAGGAGGGAGCTCTGGGGAGGCCTGGAACAAGCTGTGGAGCAGCAAGTGCGTGTTTGAGGAGGCCGAAAAACACTTGCCACTGGCCAAACTCTTCTGCTGTGATGAGTAAGCAGGAGACTTCCGACTGCATTTACTTTGTACCGAGCTAGGCCAATAAACAGCATGGCTGAAAATCCCATGGCAAGGAGTTTCCAGCAGACACTGGCAACTGCCCTCCTGAATCGAGGTCCGTATTCCAACAGGAGCAAAGCCAAGCTCAACAATGAAGTTAAAAGCCAAACTGAGGAGAAACTAGCTTCCTTACATTGGAAATACATAAAAAAGGGCTGCAGTTCAAAAGGGAAAATGAGCAAATCTGCAAAGACTTTCCTTGAAGCTCAGCCCCAGGTTGTTGTTCCTTGAGATGACCCCAGGAGAGCTGAGTGAGAACAAGAAGCAGTGAGACTTGGCCAAGGGGCCCCCAAAAGCTGCTTGGGTGCAGCCAGCTGAGCATAGGGATAGCAGTTCTCTGAAACCTTATTCTTGGGCTGAGCCAGATTTTTAGGTCATCCTGAAGTTTGATTCTTCAGCTGCCTTGGGTGGCGGTGTTTTTTTCAGTGATGTGTGCAGTAATACATATTGGATGTGGTTCAAGTTGTCATGAGGTGGACGGGGAAAAAACAAAAGGTCACCAAGCTCTGATTCAATCTTCCAGTTTGGATGGGCTGAGAGCTCCTCCCCATTAGGAGCTCTGAAGGCACCATGAAATCTGAAGGGGCTCCATGAGATCCAGCACGTACAAGGTCAGGACAAATCCATCTGAATCTTGGGAATAACCGATGGCTTCAAACTGGAAGAGGGTAGATTTAAAATAGTTATTAGGAAGAAATTCCCTACTGAGTGTGGTGAGACACTGGAACAGGTTGCCCAGTGAGGCTGTGGATGCCTCCTCCCTGGTGGCATTCAAGGCCAGGCTGGATGGGGCTTTGAGCAACTTGGTCTAGAGGGAGGTGTCCCTGCCTATGGCTGTGGGCTGGAGGTAGATGATCTTCAAGGTCCCTTCCAGCCCAAACCATTCTATGAGTCTGTAAGGACAGAGAATAAAAATGGTCAGCCTTTAAAAACAAAGAAGAAACCTATCTGACCTTCCAGAAGGGTAGCAGATCTGTTGTTGGTCAAGGAGTATGGGAAGGGGGTGGGGAGAAGAGTTTGTGGATTATTTAAATCATTTAAGTCAGCTGCTATCTAGCCCTACATATTCGGGATCTTCAGGAGCTGGAAGCTGGGTATTTGTGCCAAGCTTTTGAATCTCGAGAAGAAAGTCTTGTTCAGAGTATCTGCTTGCTTTATGCTCCCTGAGGAGGCCACAGTAAGTGGTCGTTCTTCCCTCCATTAGTTTTATTACCCAGAGCAAGCCTGTTCTGCCTCTCTGTTGCTGCTGCTTTAATCAAAGCCTTGTTCCCAGATAGCCATCAGGAGAGACATCTGCAATTCAATTAGATCTGTACACTCACAGTCTCTGTGAAGCCAACTGCTGCCGGAGCGCCATGCCTTCCACCTTGTGCTCGCTGTAGCTGCAGCCTGTGGGGCTCAGCTCTGATGCTCAGCCCTTTCTGCCTCCTCCATGGGTTCATTTTCCTGCTGGGCCTCTGGCCTGCACGGAAACTGTGGTGGCATGCAGGGGCTTGAGACAAGGACCTGTGTCTCATAGGATACTTTTAGGAGTGCTTCCTCCATACCAGCACTCCTTTTTTCTCATGGACTTCAGCCTGTAAAAGCGTATCCTCTGTTGGTGGCTGCCTTGATCTTCTACAGGATCACCAGACTCAAAAGCTGAGCATCTGTAAGGAATGACTCTTCCGAAATACTTCCTTGACCTCCTCTGTAAGCTGCTGACCCAGAGATGAAGATGTCCTCACGATGGTGTCAGGCTGTCCCCATGCACATATCACAGGCTTGTGTAAAAGCGCTCTGAAGGGTTATTGAGTGATTTAATGGTCTCATTTAAAGTGTTTCTTAGAGCTGGTTATAAAGGCTCGGAAAATCACAAGTGAAAGGGCTCAGAAGAGAAGTTTGTGTGGGTTTTTGTTTAGAAAAGATACAGCCAAAAACCCCAGACCAGGAGAAGAGAAATGTGAAGGTGAGTAGTGGGAGTGGATGTGGTTTGCAGCTTGCTGCCGGCTTTGCCTCCCTCAGTTTATTGCTTGATGGAGAGGCAGATGGAATGCTTCCTTGGGAGAAAAAGCAGATGTGGCTCAGACCAACAGAGCTGACCTCACTGCTGATGGATCAGGGTTGCTGTGCTGCCTGGATCTGGGGACAGAACGGAGATTGCTGTACCCTCACTACGGTCATGCCAGGAGATTGGATGTGTCTGCTTTGAATTTGAGGACACATTTGTCATTTCCTTCAAATAGAATTGTGACATTAATTCTCTTGGCTGCAGTAAACATAGCTCCATTTAAGACTTCCCACAAAGCACATGGTCCAACTTCAGAAGAGGACAAGGGGAGTGTGCAGCAGTGAAAATACTCAGCAGTGCCTTGGTCAGAAGGCTGCTACCAATCT